TCTAGGTCATTGGACAGGTTCCCTGTTAAAGTTGCACGAAAAGAAAAAGAACCCATTGAGCCAACAGACGGCAGTGATTCCGTTAGAGTGAAAGTCGTCCTACACAATAACCCTCCTCTCTCTTGTCCCTCCCACACCAGCCACGAAGGTTTTCAAAGGGAAGTGCAGGTTAATTTACTTTTTTTATATTTTGTGTCTTCTTTATTATTTTGTATTACAGTATCGCAGTCCTTTTTACTTGAATATTTTTGGGTTGTGGAACGAATCATCCGAGTTTCCTTTATTTCTGCTGGGGAAATTCGCTTTGATGTACAAGTGCTTTGGATTACAAGCAGGTTTCCGGAACAAACGAGGCTCGCAAATCAAGGTTTCGCTGCGTGTAACTGTGACACGTCAATCACGTGTCCATTTACACGTGTCCCTCATATTTATCAAAATAGTTCACGTGTCCATATATGGTGGACGGTGAACACACATCTGAATAAATGGCTACACAGTGTTGCCCGTGTGGCCAAAACCAAGTGTAAGGGCACTGTTCACCTTCCCACGTGATTGCGGTTCTTTTCTGTTTTGTTTTTTTTTTTTTTAATTGAAATCGCAAATTGTGTTTTCATTAGAAGATAAATCCTAAATGTTTTCTCTTGGGGAAACAAAAACCTGCGAAGGCACAAGATTTAGAGCAAAATGTTTCTAAATATTACGCGTTTCCTGGGAGGCTGACATTCTGAACATGGAACAGAATGGAGAACTCTGTGGATGAGTGAGTGCGGGTGTCCCGAGAGCTGATGTCACACAGCCTGGGTTCTGCGGGGTCAGAGAGACCCATTGGTGACTGTTCACCCAGCAAGCTCCGGCCAGAGACAGGGCATCGGAATGTCAGGTCTTAAAACGTGCACGACAGCTGTCCGTGAAGATGACAGTGGGATCGTTAGGGCTTTCTGACGCAAGGGTCTTGTTCCGGAACATTGTTCTTTTCTGCTGTGGTGTGCGGTTGGCCTCATGCAGCTCAGGGCCATGGGACTCAGGGGTTGTTGCTTTTTCTCTGGGAGTGTTCCTCTCCCCGATCTTCAAAGCCTTTGAGTAGACTGACTGGCTTCGCGAGGCTCCCAGTGTTTGATGAGCTAAATTGCTTGCTCCAGGTAAAGTGGATTTTGAGGAAATCAGTTAGCTTTAGCAGGGAAAATGGCAGAGAAGAGCGTGCGATCTACAGTACAGACAGGAGCGGTGGGCTCCCCATCGGTGCAGGACACTCCTCGTCTCTGAGCTGGGGGAAGGGTTTGGCTGGAGGCTTCCAGAATCTTCTGAAATGTTGAGATGTCGTGATCCGGTTGTCAGTGGGAGGACCGGAAACGTTTTTCCCCCTCAAGTATATGTCATTTACGAAATGGGTTTGCATATTCTCAGCACCTTACCGCGTGGCATTTTGAAAAAAGACCTTCCCTTCATTATTCCCATGGGAGAGTAAAAAAAAAAATTTTTTTTTCAATGTTTATTTTTGAGAAAGACAGTGCAAGTGGGGAGGAGCAGAGAGAGAGAGGGAGACACAGAATCGGAAGCAGACGCCGGCTCTGAGAGCACAGAGCCTGCCGCGGGGCTCGAACTCATGAACCGGGGAGATCACGACCTGAGCTGAGGTCGGACGTTTAACTGGCTGAGCCGCCCAGGCACTCCCTGGGAGATTTTTCAGCCTGATGTATGGTGAGGGGTCAGTTCTGGCTCTGAAAGTGCATACACCTGTCATGGGCCCGGGTGTTTGGGAAACCAGTTGCGCTAGGATGGGCCTCTTGTGACTTAGCAGCCTGGGAAAAGGAAAGTTCTTCCTGCTCCCCGACCTTCTGCCTTCCTGCTCTCTGCACTGGGCATTTCAGTCGATTTCCATCACAAATAAACCTTCTACCCCCATGGCTGCCCGCCCCCTCCCGCCCACCGCCCCGCCAAGTTCACGCACGTTTTAAACGCATGGAGGGCTCTGCGGCTTGGGGCTCGTGGTTCCCCGGCCAAAGGGGGCATGCTGAGGTGGCCGCGTGGGAGGGAAGCCACGTTCACTGCTTGCCTGTGCTTCTCTGCCCAGGTGGGTGTGAGATGCTCCGAGATCATGATGGCTATTGATTTGGAGATGATGATCAAATCGGCGTCTGCTTACTGATGGCTGCCTGGGTGCTGATGTGCTGTTTCCTCTGTCTTTGCTGCAAAGTGTCCAGATCGCTGGAGTGAGTGGGAGAGGCGGAAGGGCAGAGGGGTATGTGTACTCGATGGTGTGATGTGCCCTGCTGACGGCCTCCAGTTGTAAGAAACGGGCTTAAAAAAAAAA